TCATTTTGACCCCACGGGGTGAGATCTTGCGTGGAGCCCCAGATCGAGGGAGATTATCAGTGGTCTTGTATGTCTTCCATTTTCTAATTATTGCTCCCACAGTTGATTTGTTTACACCAAGCTGCTTTGCCTATTGCAGATTCAGTCTTCCCAGCCTGGTGCAGGTCTACAATTTTGTTTCTGGTGTCCTTCGACAGCTCTTTGGTCTTCACCATAGTGGAGTTAGGAGTGTGACTGTTTGAGGTTGTGGACAGGTGTCTTTTATACTGATAACAAGTTCAAACAGGTGCCATTGATACAGGTAATGAGTGCAGGACAGAGGAGCCTCTTAAAGAAGAAAGTACAGGTCTGTGAGAGCCAGAAATCTTGCTTGTTTGTAGGTGATCAAATACTTATTCTCCACCATAATTTGCAAATAAATTCTTTCCAAATCAGCCAATGTGATTGTCTGGATTTTTTTTCTCATTTTGTCTCTCATAGTTGAGGTCTACCTATGATGCCAATTACAGGCCTCTCTCATCTTTTTAAGTGGGAGAACTTGCACAATTGGTGGCTGACTAAATACTTTTTTGCCCCACTGTATATATATATATATATATATATATATATATATATACTGTATGTTGAAATGTGTTTTTTATATATTACAAAATATATTAAAAATATTTAACCACTTGCCTACCGGGCACTTATACCCCCTTCCTGGCCAATTTTCAGCTTTCAGCGCTGCCGCATTTTGATTGACAATTGCGCGGTCATGCAACATTGTACCCATATGAAATTTTGATCATTTTTTTCTCACAAATAGAGCTTTCTTTTGGTGGTATTTAATCGCCACTGGGCGCTTTACTTTTTGCGCTATAAATTTAAAAAAGTGCAAAAAATTTGAAAAAAAAAAAAAAGTTTATTTGTTTCTTTTATAAATTTTTCAAAACAGGTATTTTTTTTCTCCTTCACTGATTTGCGTTGATGAGGCGGCACTGATGGGCACTGATAGGCGGCACTGATGGGCACTGATAGGCAGCACTAAAGGGCACTGATAGGCAGTACTAATGAGGTGGCACGGATAGGCGGCACTGATAGACAGCACTAATTAGGGGTCACGGATAGGCGGCACTGATATGCAGCACTGATAGGCGGCACTGATAGGTGACACTGATGATGGGTACTGATAGACGGCACTGACTGGCATCACTTCTGGGCACTGACTGGCGGCACTGACTTGGGCACTGACTGGCAGCACTGCTGGGCTGCACTGGTGGGTGGCACTGGTGGGCAGCACTGGTGGGTGGGCACAGGTGGGTGGCACTGGTGGGTGGGCACAGGTGGGTGGCACTGCTGGGGCACATGTAGGTGGCACTTCTGGCACAGGTAGGTGGCACTGCAGAGTGGCACAGGTGGGGGCACTGCTGGGCACATGGGGGCACTGCTGGGCACAGGTGGGGGCACTGCTGGGAACGGGTGGGCGGGGCTAGTGGGCGCACTGCTGGGCGGAACTTGCGGGTTTTCACTGCTGGGCACCGATCATCAGGGCACTGATCATCAGTGCCCTGATGATCGGTGCCAATCCCCGCGCTCTGACAACTGCCGGTTCTCGGCAGTACTTTCCTCACGATCTGACAGCGTGAGGAAAGTGCAGCCGAGAACCGGCACTTGCATTTCCCTGTGATCAGCGTGTCATTGGACACCGTGTCATGTGTCCGTAGGACACAGCGATCACGGAGATCGCCGGGTGCGCGCCCCCTGGGCGCGCAGGAGAGCGCGTTCTGGGAGGACGTCATATGACGTCCACTCAGAACTGGCCGGCCGCGGTGAAGCCGTCATTCGGCTATGCGCGGTCGGCAAGAAAGTTAAAAAAATATTATTTTTAAATATATTCTTCAGATTTTTTTTAACATATAAAAAAGGCATTTTAAACTCCCTGGCGTTATGATTATTTCAGATTTTTGGTGCTGAAAGTGATACCATTATTTTGCATGACAATTTTTATCTATATGCACGTGTTATCAAGCATGTTTTAATGGATCCCTAACACACTGTACATACATGAACCAAACACGCATGACTTTCATGTATTGTTGTGTGTTGGGATAAAAAGGGCTAAGTGGGTTTTTTTTGTGCATGGAGGCTCGTTGGGAACTCCTAGAAAATAAATGGGTCCATGCAAAGCCTCAAACATTGAAGAATGTGGTAAGTATTTCATACCATAGACTACAGACTAGCCAACCAACATAAAAAAAGTTATAAATGACAGAATAGACTTTGGATTGTCAACTTATGAGGTATGGGGGAAGTTTCAACTTTGGCCCATAAAGGGCAGCACATAATGTTGGGTGTATTAGTAGTTGTCAATTTATGAAGTGGGGGACTCAACTTTGGCCCATAAAAGGCAGCAAGTAATGTTGGGTATATTAGTGGATGTCAACTTATGTAGTGTGGGGGGGTCTTCAGCTTTGGCCCATAAAGGGCAGCACATAATGTTGGCTATATGCAATGCTAGAGAGGAAGTCAAGGAATACAGACATACAAGAAGAAATGATGGTCAAAGACCATGGATATGTTGCAGGTGTAGTTGGAGAATGAAGAAAGTGGACACCAGGGCTTAAGGGCCCATTTATATATGCTCAAAAAAATTAAAGGAACACTTTTTAATCAGAGTATAACATCAGGTAAGTTAAACTCCTGGGATATTGATCTAGTCAGTTAAGTAGCAGAGGGGGTTGTTAATCAGTTTCAGCTGCTTTGATGTTAATGAAGCTAACAACAGGTGCACTAGATTGGCAACAATGAGACGACCCACAAAACAGGAATGGTTTTACAGGTGGAGGCCACTGACATTTTTTTCCCTACTCACCTTTTCTGACTGTTTTTCACTAGTTTTGCATTTGGCTAGGCTCAGTGTCACTACTGGTAACATGAGGCCATACCTGGACCCTACAGAGGTTGTACAGGCAGTCCAACTCCTCCAGGATGGCACATCAATACATGCCATTGCCAGAAGGTTTGCTGTGTCTCCTAGCACAGTCTCAAAAGCATGGAGGAGACAGGCAATTACTCTAGGAGAGCTGGACAGGGCCGTGGAAAGTCCTTAACCCATCAGCAGGACCAATATCTGCTCCTTTGTGCAAGGAGGAACAGGATGGGCACTGTAAGAACCCTACAAAATGACCTCCAGCAGGCCACTGGTGTGAATGTGTCTGACCAAGCAGACCAATACAGACTTCATGAGAGTGGCCTGAGGTCCCAACGTCCTCTAGTGGGCCCTGTGCTCACTGCTTGGCACCATTGAGCTGGATTGGCATTTGCCATTGAACACCAGAATTGGCAGGTTCACCACTGGCACCCTGTGCTTTTCACAGATGAGAGCAGGTTCATCCTGAGCACATGTAACAGACTTGAAAGGGTCTGAAGAAGCTGCGGAAAATGTTATGCTGCCTGTAACATCATTCAACATGACCGTTTCAATGGTCGTCAGTGATGGTCTGGGGAGACACATCCACGCACAGACCTCTACAGGCTAGACAATGGCACCTTGACTGCCATTAGGTATCGGGATGAAATCCTTGGACCCATTGTCAGACCCTACGCTGGTACAGTCCTGGGTTCCACTTGGTACATGACCATGCCCATGTGGCATGCAGGCAGTTCTTGGAGGATGAAGGAATTAATACCAATTAATGTCCCCCCCAAGTTTGCCTGAACTAAATCCAATAGAACACCTCTGGGATATCATGTTTCGGTCCATCTGCCTCTGCCAGATTGTACCTCAGACGGTCCAGAAGCTCAGTGATGCCCTGGTCCAGATTTGGGAGGAAATACCCCAGGACACCATCCATCTTCTCATTAGGAGCATGCCCTGATGTTGTCAGGCATGCATACAAGCACGTGGGGGCCATACAAACTACTGAGGACCATTTTGAGTTGCTGCAATGAAATTTCAGCAAAATGGACTCGCCTGCTGCATCATCTTTTCACTTTGATTTTCGGGGTATCTTTGAATTCACTTCTTTGTAGGTTGATAACTTTCATTTTCGTCAAATGATGGGGCATCCTTACATTCCTAACACATTACCCCGTCCATATCAGTATAAATATCCAGCGTGAGATTTTTCCCCATTGAGATCTGATGTGTTTTCATAGTGTTACTTAAATTTTTTGAGCAGTGTATTTTTGCAGTGTGTTAATGCACACATGTAAATGTTGTGTTTGGTCAGTCCATTCACAAAACAAAGACATGACCCTTTTTTTCTAATGCAACATACTGCTCAGCGTTGCCATGGGTTGTGTTGCTCTACAACATAAAGAAAAATGAACAGCACCGCAACACAGCAACACGTGTTACAAGAGTTATTATTGCTGCAATATGTGTTATAGTAGCACAAGGGCTACCACAAAAGGAAAGTTTGAATCAGATGTAAATTCAAAGACTTTCCTAAACCCTGTCTATGAAGGGTAATAGATAAGGTTGATAAAAGACAATATGTACGTAATGTTCAACCTCTATGTGTGCTAACCTTCACTAAATAACCTTTTCACATAAAGTGAATTGGAATTTTTCTAAAATGTGATGTTATAAAACCACTTATTATTATTCTTTTTCACTATGAGAGCATGCTACGTTTCAATATTCTATTACAGCAAAAACATAGTTATTTAAAGGATGATAAAGATAATTATCAATCAAAGGTCTTTTTTTTCAAAGTGATACTATGGAAACAAATTCAAAAATACTTCTTTTAAGGAATTCTGAAAGCAAAGAATATTTTGGGAGATTAGGAAATGTAGACTATATGCGATTAGTTTGTTAGACGTCAGGACCAAATAGCAGGTCATATCTCCTCCCCCACCCCCACCCCACCCCTTTCCGGCATTAGAGATCTGCCATAATGAGTCCAGAAGAGGAGCCATGACACCTTGGGCTCCCAGAAACTCAGTTTTACCCAAAAGGCGATGGGCGCTGGATCTCTGAGCAGGAGAGACTGTAGGGGACAGCGGTAGAGAGGAGGCTAGTAAAGCAGCTAAATATGTTTTTTAGCCACCTTGGCTTTCCTCTAGATGTACACCACTGTCCAGGGGTGGACTGACCATTCGAACACTCGGGCATTGCCTGAGGGCCCGGGGGCAGTAGGGGGCCCCATGAAATGCCCCTGGTACCTTTTTATAGGCTTTTTTGGGTGTGCTTTGAATGTGGGCACGGACACAGGGGCTCCATGATCCCCTATTGCCCGGGGGCCCCATGAGTTGTCAGTCCGCCCCTGCCACTGTCTGCAAATATTTCAGTGAAGGGATGTCGGTAACCTGACCTTGAGGTTCTCTGTACACTAAAGCTGGCCATACACTAGTAAATTTTTAAACGAACACTCGTGTAAAAATCTGTACAAAAATTCTCAGTACTTTCGATGGTTTGATGAATGTTGTTCAGAGATTCTTCTAAAACTTCATTTGCTTTTAACATTCGGATTTGGAGTGCGTGGACATTACCAAATGAAAACCACATACACTGTTAGAAATGTTTTCATTTAAAAAAAAGCTTCCATCCTCCCTCCTTCATATTTTCTCATCACCATGGCTGAATGTCAATTTGGCCCCTAATAATGATCAAAACATCCAGAAACATTCTTAAAATGAAAAAAATGTAACCACAATTTTACTAGCAAGTTTAACCGTCTGAACTCTGTCACCCCCTTCCAGTCCAGGCCAATTTTTCAGCTTTCAGCACTGTCACACTTTGAATGACATATATTCAGTCATGCAACACCATACCCAAATTAAATTTTTATAATTTTACGATTCCGATCATTATACCTCAAACCTTCCCGATATCTTTACCGGGAACTTTCTTTGTAATAATTATAAATATGATTACTAAGTTCATATGGGCAAATAAGAGGCCTAGGATTTAGTTATAAAGTGTTATGCAGAGTAAAAGCAAATGGAGGACTGGGGTTACCGAATATAAAGAAGTATTATACAGCTGTAATATTGTCACGGGTGATAAATTGGTTTTTTAATTCACAAGGGAAAAGTGGGGTAAAGATAGAAGGGGAATTAAGTAAATCAAAATTAGATAAAATGATTTGGATACCTCATGGGTTTTGTACATTAGATGTAGAAATTAGTAAATTGACTAGGATAGTGTTGGATACATGGGACAGATTACACAATAAGGAAAAATGGGAATTTACCGTATTTTTCGCTCCATAAGACGCACCTGACCATAAGACGCACCTAGGTTTTAGAGGCAGAAAACAGAAAAAAAAAATTCTGAACTAATGGACTGCAGACATAGTACAGGAGATGACCAGAGACTGCGGACACAGTACAGGAGATGACCAGAGACTGCGGACATAGTACAGGAGATGACCAGAGACTGCGGACAGCACAGGGGATGACCAGAGACTGCGGACAGTACAGGGATGACCAGAGACTGCGGACAGCACAGGGATGACCAGAGACTGCGGACAGCACAGGGATGACCAGAGACTGCGGACAGCACAGGGATGACCAGAGACTGCGGACAGCACAGGGATGACCAGAGACTGCGGACAGCACAGGAGATGACTGCTGACCTTTGGGGAGCTGGGGAGCGGGTACCTGAATTTGACAGGTACCCGCTCTTACTTCCGCGGAGTTGTTCTTTGATCTTACCTGTTCCTCTATCCAGCCGCGCGCTGTCTTCCCAGCTTCTGTGGTGTCGGCGCTCGGCATGACAGCCGGGTGCCCAGTGCGCATGAGCGAGAAGCACTTGCGCTTTGTGATTGGTCCAGCAGCTTCTGGGATCTGTCATGTGTCCCAGGTACCGCCTTACCATTCACAAAAAGCACCGCTTCTTGCGCACTTGGCATCCGGCTGTCAAGCCGAGTGTCAGAGCCTGGGATCGAACCTGGTCCTTCTGCAGGGAGAGGCAATGTCTCTTCTCACTGAGCTATCTGGAATGCTGGACAGCTCCCTTGACAATTCTTGGATAACCCTGCCTTGTGCCTTGATTACTCTTGAACCTTGAACTCCTTGCTCCTCCCATGAACTTCCTTATAAAAGCCATGTCCGTGCACTTCCTCCTTGCCAGATTATTGTGCCTTTCCAGCCAATATCCCGCTACTGTTCCTGCTGCTGTCTACACCTCCGCTACTGACCTTTGGCTTGTTCCTGACCACGATTTCGTCTCATCCTAACGTACTAAGATTGATCTGCTACCATTTGTGACCGACCCTTGGCTTGTGACTGACTCTGCTTTCGTCTGATCCCTAACCTGTTGATCCGCTATTGGTTCCCAGTCTGCTCATTCCCTGGTGGGGTGATCCTGAGATCTGCGACCTGGTATTAACACGCAGCCCAATCCATCTCCACCATTAGGAGCTCTGGTGAATACCGGTTAATACTTAGACCCCGCACCTCAGGTGAGCCTGTGTCATTCCCAGGGGGATCCGCTGGTGTACCTATACTGCTGGTTTCAGGTAAGCCTTTTACTGCTATAGCAACTGGTCTCTGAACCTGACCTTATATCGTGACACCCAGCGCCCAAACTATAGAAGCCGGGAAGACAGCGCACCGCTGGATAGAGGAACAGGTAAGGTCAAAGAACAACTCCGTGGAAGTAAGAGCGGGTACCTGTCATATTCAGGTACCTGCTCCCCACCTCCCCAAAGGTCAGCAGTCATCTCCATAAGGTTCCGCTGCAGAGCTGAGCGGCCGGCCCGGTATTCTGACGTGGCGGTGGAAATACCGGACCGGCCGCTCCATATTCGCTCCATAAGACGCACTGACATTTCCCCCCCTTTTTTGGAGGGAAAAAAGTGCGTCTTATGGAGCGAAAAATACGGAAATTCACTATTGATACCACTAGTGGGAACAGATTTTTTTGCACCAGGAAATGTTAAAATAAGTGGAAGATGGATAAAGGATAAAAACGCACGCTTGAAAGATATTATAAAAGGGGGGAGATTATGCACGTTTCAGAATTTAAAAAAGAATAAGGATTTGTTTGTTAGAATAGATGAATGGAAGTATAACCAGTTGTCTCATTTCGTTGCAAATTTACCACAACCATTTAGGGATGTAGGAGAAGTGAACCCGTTTGAAAAACTAATGAATGCTGAATTAAGCCCAAAACACATCACCTCTAGGAAATATAAAATCCTTGTGGACTTAGATGATGTAGAGCCCCCTGGATATTTAAGTAAATGGGAAAGGGAACTAGGAATAAAAATCAACCCTCAGCAAAGGGAAGGTATTTTTAACCTAACACACAAGGTAATAAACATGCGCACAGTAGAGATGAACTACAAATGTTTGGCAAGATGGTATTTACCACCCAGTATAACCCATGAGCAGCAAGGGGAAATCTCTCCATTGTGCTGGAGAGGATGTGGAGAAAGGGGCAATATGGAGCACATCTGGTGGAGTTGCCCGAGGATACAGGTTTATCGGAGGGAAATAGCGTATTATATCAAGGAAATATGTGGGATAGATATTCAAGGGGACCCACTGAAATGCTTATTATAGCTGGTGCATCGCACCCTGGTCACGCAGTAAGGAATACTTTATCATCAATCCTGTCATTTCATCATTCGGGAGTGACACCACTGTTGATTCCTGGTGGATCACTTAAGTGTATTGGAGTATATCAAAGCAGGGCCCTGCTTTCACAGTCCTACATAGCGACAGCCTATGGACTTCTATTTTTGCTCACCACCTCCTCTAGACTTATCACAGTCTACGACCAGTATCCTATACAATAGGTTTGATTTATGTCCTGAATGGCCTATTCCTCATGATTTACCATAATTTTCCTTCCATCCTCACATTTAATTTTATACCTTGCCATAAGGTTTTTCAAGTCTAGCTCCACTGGCTACTAAGAAGGGCTTATGTCCACAATTATTGATATCGTGCAGTTCTGTATGTCCATTTTCCCACCACGGTGGTGCACCCCATTGTGCCTTTGCTGCTGATGCAAAACTAGCATGTCGTTGATCCAGCAGCATAGCACTATTTTAGGCCTGCCATGATGTCTATTTGTTTTATTTATATGTTTTAGGTTTTTCTGTGACATGTCTTCATTGAGGTGATGGTTGATCGCAGTTCTTACCTGAGTATTGTTCATGTGCAAGTTTGCGAATAAAGCATCATTTTTCAAATATTATTCAGTATTGCATGTCCCTTTTTGTAACCACATTCTTCTGTGAATTCTATATTCACAATTTTCTTTTTGCTGAACAAAATAAACCCTTCCTCTCCCAAGCTTAGAATGGATATCCCTTTAATAGCGTATGAACACTTTATTCCCAATCTTAATACAAACCCTTTAAGAGACTTGGGATATAGTACATTTACTGAGATAGGTGGTACTGTGCTGGGAAGTGGCATGTACCCCTTTTTACAAATTAGATCACCTAACGAATCCGAGGAAGTGGGTAGAAATAGATTCCAAAATTTGGCATGCTTTATCCAACCCTATTAGGTTAAAAAAAGGTATATCATGGTTCTACAAATTTCTTCAATATGAAAATGACACACCCATATCTAAGATGTAGCCTAACGCATCACCATTATACTGGTGGAATTGTGGCAAAGAGGGCAATCTACTACATATTTTGTGGGAATGTACTCATTTACATAAATTTTTGGCAAGACATTTTTGTGCTAATTTCTCGGGTGTCTGGGATGATTACAAGTCCAGCTTCCCACCTGGCGCTACTAAATCTTACCTTTTTCCAGTGCAATTCAGAACGATTGGCCATATACTAATTGCAGTCAGGCTTCTAATTGCTGCTGCTTGGAAATCATCTAAAACCTTTACCATATCCGACGTTATTCACAGAGTGCATTCCCATTACATCTGTGAGAGGGCCATTGCCATTTCCTCCCAGAACATGTGGCTATTTGACTTAAGATGGTCTTGTTGGAAAGATATGTTTATGCTACATAATGCGAATATATAGGATTGGATTACAACATGCACACAACCACGGATGCTGGCGTATTAGTCAGAACTAATATCTTTTTGAATTTGTGCTCTGTTAACTCTTAACTCTTTATTATTCTCTTTATCTCCCTTTTTCTTCTCTTTTTTGAGTTGATATTATCTGGGAGCCAGACTATATCCTGGTCTACGCTCCTGAGATATTTGTGATGGCACTGTGTACAGTATGCCGGTACTTTATGCCTAAATTGTTATTATTATTGTTTAATGTTAACTATGCATTTGCTGATTTGTTATGTCCAAGCATACCAAAGTTGGCGGATCAGGCCGAATACGTGAATGCTTTTTCAGGATTAAGAGTGTTTCTATCATCATTGCACTTAGTTTTGCTTGCACTTATTTTCTATTTTGGTATAATTTCTATTTTGAGATATTTGTTAAAATTCAATAAAAAAGATATGAAAATACATTTTTATAATTTTTTTTTCAGACAGATGGAGCTTTATAATGGTGGTATGTTATCACCACTGCTTTTTTTTTTTTTTTTTTTTTTTTTTAACTTTTTGCAATATAAATGAAAAAAGGACAAACATTTTGAAATAAAAAAATCTTAGTTTCTGTTTTAAAATTTTGCAAATAAATAATCTTTCTTCATAAGTTATGCAAAAATGTATTCTGCTACATTTCCTTGATAAAAGTAACCCAAATCAGTGTATATTATTAAGTCTGTGTGAAAGCTATAGAGTCTACAAACTGTGGTATATAAATTTGAAAACTGATCAGTCCTGATGTACTGATGACCTATCTCATTTCTTGAATACAAATACCCCTTAAATTATCCCTTTTTGGAAAGTAGACAGTCCAGGGATTTATTAAGAGGCATGGTGAGTTTTTTGCAGGTGTAATTTTTTGTCACAATTCTTGCAAAAATTAAGAAATACATTTTTTTTTTCATAAAACACGTTCTGCTATGTCTCCTGAGTATAGGGATACCACATGTGTGAGACTTTTTCACAACCTAGATGCATAGAGGGGCCCAAAATCCAAGGAGCACTTTCAGGCTTCCCAGGGGAATAAATTGGGCATAAATACACATCTAATTTCCTGACTCCCTATCACATTTTTTGAGATCCTGGCAGTGGGAACACCCTCGCAATTTCCCCATTTTGGAAAGTAAACACTCCAAGGTTTTTCTAAAAGGCATAATTTTTATTATTATTATTATACAGTATTTATATAACGCCAAAAAGTTTTCTCAGAGCTGTACATTATAGTTTGAGACAGTACATGAGACAATACAGTAACAATACAATACACGACATGAGTCTTTTTAAAATGTCATTTTTTTTGCCACAGGTTTTTGGAAAAAACAGGAAAGAAAATGAAGATGTATTTTTTTACACAAAGTTGTCATTAAAAAAGATATTTCTAACACACATCATAGACATACTTAGATTTACACCCCAAAACACATTCTGCTACTCCTCCCAAGTGTGGCAACACCACATACATGAGATTTTTTCACAACCTAGCCACATAGAAGGCACCGAAATCCAAGAAGTGCTTTCACGTTTTCTAGGGGCATAAATTGCACATCTAATTTTGTTACTACGTATCACATTTTTGGAGGCTCTGGAGCACCAGGACAGTGGAAACACCAAATAAAAATTACCACATTTTGGAGAGTAAACACCCCATGGTATTTTTTAAAAAGTATGATGAGTCGTTTGAAGATTTCATTTTTTTGCCAGAAGTAAAATGTTGAAATAAAAGGAAAATAAAAAGACGGTTACAAAATTCAAAATTTTATAGGATATTTCTCACACACACAGCATTGTCATACTTAGAATTACACCCCAAAACAAATTCTGCTATTTCTCCCGAGTATGGCAATACCACATGTGTGAGACATGTTTACTGTCTTGACTGAATATGTACTAGACATTGTATCTTGTGTAGCACAAAAATCTACCTATTGTATCAAAAACAATGTACTGTAATGGTCGCCTCTGTATAAGGGATCCAGAAATATAGCTTAATGGGGTGTCACCTTTAGAGTCCCAGTTCCTATAAGCCAAGCAAGCCATGTTGACTGGCCAGGAAGTCCAGGGGGCTGAAAAAAAGAAGAACATGAAAGAGATCCTGTGGTTCCAGGAGTGTAGTTGTCTACACAGAAATGGCTTGGACTGGTGTGTCGCAAGAATGTAGTCAGTGGGATGTGCAAAGATGTCAGTTCAGGCTGCAGGTCAACAAACAGGAAAAGCATTGGTCCAGGAAGCAGGCAGAAACATGGTCAATAAACAGGCCAAGATTGGTACAGGCAGAGGCAATAATGCACTGGTGTGGCGGTGATCAGAAACACTGTAACTGGTATGGCGATGATCAGGGACACTGGAACTAGTGTGGTGGTGATCACGGACACTGATAGGTACGAGCAGGAGTTAGCTTGTGGCTTTCAGCTGGGGTTGGATGCTACTCCTCAAAGTACTTTGTTGTAATTCCACCCAAAAGTCAATTAGTTCTTCCAAAGGGGAGAACATAAGGACACAAAGACATTGCCCTCTCTCGCAGGCCCCTTCTCCATCTCACCTGTGCTTAAGTGCTAATTTTCTCTTTTGTGAGATCCATAGGTGGGAAATCCTTTTCCAGTCCCTTCCTCTAATGCAGAAAGCATGACTTTCCAAAATAGCCCCCCCCCCCCCCCCCCCGAACTCCGGCCAGAAGCCTCTAGCCTAAACTCCACCCTCCTTATATAGGGCTACCCAGAAGGCTCCACAAAAGAGGAAGAGCAACCCTTAAGGGACCTGCCTACATGTGATTGGGATGAGCTGGAGGCTGA